ATGTGCTGAGCGCAGATGAATGTGAGCAGGGTCAGTCGCCAATGATGCACGAATAGCATCGACAGCTTGCGCACCCCACACGTATCTCACCCTACCTTGCCTTGGCGCGGCTGCCTGCACTCGGCTACGAAGGCTAGTCAAAGATGGAGGCACCATAACGGGCATGATAGCCCATGAGATGCATCGGTGCGGTGTATGAAATGCATGATCGTCTATAGAAAAATGACTGGCGCGAAGGAAGATCTGCGGCGAGGCAGCTACGTAGTCAATAAGGCTATGCTTCCTCCCTTGTGTACACGTAGGTTGAGCCGTCCTCTGAACCGGGCAGGGGCCTATCTGACGACCATTAAAGAGCAGAAGGCAGGATGCCTTGCACAGAGCGAGCAGCCAAACGCCCGTCCAGTTACGTGGGTGTGAGCAGTCACTGATACGTGTCGGTGGATTAAGCAAAAGGGGGTGCAGTGCTGTCGAGTCAATGCCAATATCTGCATATTCCGACGGCGGCAAAGTGTCCGGGTCAGTCGCCGTCTTGGCGTTAAAATCACCGCACAAAAGCACATAACCATCCTCAGCCAGTTGCTCACACAGCAGGGTGAAGGCACTCCACCACTCACCACCTTGGCCGTCGTCATCGGGGCGCATGAAAGGAGGCACGTAGCAGGCAAGCAGAAACACTGGGCGATCCAGACCGAACAACTGCTGGTCCGCTCTCAGTATGACTACATTAGAAAGTGGCGTCTCTCGACGTGTGAGCAGGTGAGTGACACGCGTACTCGTGTACCACGCAACCCCGCCCGACTTGACTTGTTTGTTCGCCGAACTACTGTACAAGAGGGCACGTGGCGAAGACCAGCAAGTATAGCCAGTGAGAGCCACAGGCGGGTCATCCTCGTCCTGTTTCGTCTCAATGAAGGCGAGAAAGTCATAACGAACGCGTTTGCAACCATCCCATATACACAAGTCATCCAGCAAGTCACCATATGCACGGAACTTCGCCGCTAAGTCCTGGATATTCAAACACAGAAACGTGAAGGCCGGCAGCGAAGAGCTGGCCGGCGTCATGGCGATCGACGCAATGCATCCATGCATGGATGGGCGGGGCCGACGGCTGGGGCAGCCGCGTCCCACGCCAGAGGAGCGCCGTGCGCCTGCTGGGCCGCCCCTGGTGGGCACTGCCTGTCTATGAATGCGTCCCGCCCCCTGCCCCTGCCTCTTCCTTTCCCCCCGCGTGCTGCTAACCAGTCGGCCATATGCAAAAATACACGGGCACACCACTTGCCCATCCCCCGCCCACAACACAACACCGCACGCAACAGGCATGGATCAGACGCCCCGCCCACATGTAATGAACCATGGCTTGTACCTATACGATGAGCTGATCGTGCCTCCAGCACGCATGAGGAGAGCGACCCAGGCTGCATGCCTCCCCCCTCATCGGAGGAGACGCGAGGCATGCAGCCTGATGCCGCCATGCGCTGAAAATGCAACGAGTCAGTCCAATTCGTGCCCCTCTGCCCGCCTATATACGCATGAAACGCACCCATCCGAGTCCCCTTCGACTGACTGCCCCTCCCATCCCAGCAGGCGCGATGCACACGAAACGCACCCATCCGAGTCCCCTTCGACTGACTGCCCCTCCCATCCCAGCACACCATGCACACGAAACGCTGCACCCACCCACAATCTGCCTGCCAAGACTCCCCCCACGCACAGCAAGGGTAACACCAGCGACACCTCCCCACCTACTAGCAGAGCTGCTACACGTACTCGTACTGCCACCTGATGAAACTGCCAAAAGGGCAGCCAGCAGATGCGAGAGCAGTGCATGAGCCATTGAATGGCATGCAACCGATGCAAGTCACGGGGTGGGCGCCATCGCTGCCATCTGCGAGCAGGGGGGCGGGGAGGAAGGGAGTAGAGGGGGTATAAGCGAGGCGGGCAGTAAAGTAGATACATACACGCTTGCATGAGAACAAAGAAGACCAGAGTGAGGAAAGTGAGTAAGAGGTATAGAAAAACCAGCAGCGTGGCGACATGTGGCGGAAAAAGGAGGGGTATGGGCAGCCATAATAGAAGGCTGCGAGTAAGCGGCCACCACGATAACGTCGCCAAGGAAAGACCCGACAAGTAAGTGCCTGAAAAAGACCATTCAACCCAGGAGGGGACACAAACAAGCCAGACAGTACGACCGTATGACGCCCAACCTGTAGTGTACATCAAACAAGCGACGAACAGTACAATCCCCAGGCAGCCGCACCCCGTATGGCCCCATAGAACTGACACCATCAAACCCACCTGACAACACCCAGCCAGCCAAGTATGATCCCTGCCTGCACTCATTCCCTGCCCTTTCTCCTTCTTCTTATCCTTGGTGACGAAAGTATCCTTGGGGACGAAAATAGGGGCCGTTGGCGGGGTTCAGATGACTCCAGGTGTGCAGCATGCCTTGCTTGTGGGCAGGCTGGTAGGGTGGGAGGCTGGTAGCCGTCTGCATGGACGCCAGCGACGGGTTGCTCGTGGAGCGGGAGAAGATCTGGCCCTCACGGTCGAGCTCGTCCTGCTGCTCCTCCGTGATTGGCGTCAGCACGGGGTGCGACGCGTTGGCACTGTGCGCTGCATGGGGTGGGCAAGAGGGGAGCCGCTGGTCAGGGGGTGAGTAGGGGGTGGGATATGGGCATGTGGGCGGGTGAGAGAGTGGGGGCTGCTGATGCGGTCCAGAGGGAGTGGACGACGCCGCCGGCATGGACGCCACAGACGCACCGGGAGGGAGGAAGGGGACATACGGCATGGGCGGCGCCATCGGCGCCATATATGGCGCTGGCGCCGTCGACGTGCCTGGCGCCGTTTGTCGGAGCAAGAGCTGCGAGCTTTGCTATGATCGCCATTGGGCTGTTCACAACGGAGAGGCAAGCATCAGGCAGCAAGAAGACCACTGGTGAGCACACTATCACAGATCTTCCGGAAAAACGAATGCAAAAGATGACATGATGAATCCCTCCCTTACAGCTGTGTGTGTTTGTTGTCTGCAGAGGATGGCACCAGGTGGCCGCAGGCTGGTCGGCCTCACTGTGTGGGGCGACGGGAAGGTCGACGAGTCCCTCGACAGGCCGGGGGAGCTGTCGTTCGACGTCATCGGCGCAGGCCCCGACGGGCGGCCGATGGAGGTGCTGCTGGGCGATGATGACAAAGGGGTCCGCTTCTTCGACTTGAGCACCAACCCGCCCAAGCTGCTGCCCATCGGAGAGCGGCCTCGAAACCGGTGAGAAGCAAACTCTGTCACTCACACCATCGCTGTGGATGGCCTGTGTGTGTGTTTGTCAGGGTCGGCAATGAGCGGGTCGTCGGCAAGACGCGTCTGGGCGACGGCTTCGTGTACGAGGACACTTCCGTCCTGGCGGGTCAGTTCTACACCAAGGAGGGCGGCCAGCGGCGCTACTTCGACCTGCTGCCGCCTGGACGGCTCCCTGGCCAACAGCCCGCCGTGGACCAAACGTGAGAGCCGACACCGTCACGACAACCGTTGTGCGTGAAGATGCTGCTCTCCCTCTCTCTCTGTCTGTGTGTGTGTGTGTGTGTGTTGGTCAGTGTGGGTGTGGCCAATGGCGGCGGCGCCACACTGCGTCAGCGGCAGGAGGGCTCGTCATTGCCACTGCAGCA